ACTCACCTAGGGCAGCTCTCTGGTGCACCCCATACCATTGCCTTACCACTCTAACACAATTTAATTTTTTTATTTTTTACCTAATTTAAATCATCCTACCCCTTGTGGAGTTTTACAGGAGCTTGCATCCATCCTTAAAACTCCCTTGAAAATCTACAGGGATACTCTCAAGCTACCATTGGCCCATTACACAAGCTACAGACGGCTTTTGGTTAAAATCAGCACATCAAAAGCAAGATGAGGTTAGCAGGGAGGAATGAAAATAAGGTTCTTTCACTGGAAGCTTTTCTGCTCCCAGCAAGTCCATGTAGCAGGATGGAGATCAGTACTGGAAGCAATCCTGACTATTACAAAGCAAGTGAAAGGCAACTTTTCTCACCCCAGGAAGAAGTGTATCATATTCTGCCTGCTACGCCACCCCAAAGATGTCTCCATGTTTGTCTGATGAGGAACTCAGGGCAGATGTGAAATCCTCTACTCTTTCACAAATGTTATTAAGCTCCTTGGGATGGGTGGCTACCTGCCTGACCTCTGGAGAGCTCCTAAATGAAAGTTTAGGCAGGAGCGGGTTAGTGCTGTTCAGGCATATGTCAGACTTTTTATAGCTGCTGGCAGAAAGTGCTTAAAACCAGCAACACAGCTTAGAAGGGTCAGTGCAGAACTCTGGTGCAAATTTATCATCTGACACAGCCAGAAAGACATGTAAGGAAATAATTAAAGGCACTAACTTTTGCAGTTCTCTTTGGTTAGGACGAGGGTTGGCAGCTTCCTAAGTCCTCTCTTGTCAGACGTTCACATTGCTATGTTCAAAGCAACCTGTGCTACCAACAGCAACAATGATCACTGAAAATACTCACAAGCCAAACTGTAAGGCAGAAATATCAAGAGAGATGGCTTGAGGCCACATCAAACACTTTCATCAACTGAACAAAATTGAATCAAACAGCCTCAGAAGAATGGCAATTTCCAAGTTCTCCCTGAAGTCTCTCTTCAACAGGAACACTGGGTCTTCTCCACACTTGGACTGGCAATCACTGGCCTGGAGTCAAGACTGAAGCTGTTTGGAGGGTTCTCCCCATGAAGCTGTAAGGTATTTCGGGCTATCAGCTCCTTAGCCATTAATGTGAACACCTCTTCTATGTTTTGAGCTTCTTTTGCTGATGTTTCCAGCACAGCTAAGAGCCCGTGCTTCTCTGCCAGGGTGCAGGCATCTTCAAACAGCACTTGGCGCTTGTCCAGCGAATCTGATTTGTTCCCTTAAAAGAAAGCAAAGAGATACTTCAACCACTTAGTCTTTCAAAAATTTATTTTTAAGTGCAATGCAGGAATTCAATTTTGTTAAACAATAGTTTATGTTAGCAGTAAGAGTTACTGGATAGAACAAGATGTGAGTACATCAGAGCCAAATATAGACTGGCTTAAAACTGCAGCAAATCATATGATAGCAAAAGAGATCAAATCCAAGAAAAAGCTAACAACCTGTGTTCATCTGTTTACTTAGTGTAGGTAAAAGATTATTTGGAAGCAAGTGTTGGTCCTGTTCCCTACTGGTTTTAAATGTTTAAATGCCTTTAAGTTGAGGGCTTGTGTCCCACTGTACCCACCATCATATTATTGTGTTCCTGCTGACCTTCTTCAGGTAAGTTGAATTTTGAAAAAAAAAAAAAACCTTTTAGGGTGATGTAACAAGAAAGACAAAAATTCAGGTCAGCTATCTTAATGCCTGAAATATATGCTTGTTTTTGTATGTATAGATTAAACTTGCAGCACTTTAGTCAAAATTTATAATGAAACACCTCAGGTAAAATACCTTTCTATATTTAGGCAGTTGCAGCACATGTGGATTTATCAGTTTTAGTAGATGGCTGAAGTCTACATCTGTAGTTTCAAGACAACCCTTCATCAAATTCATATCTTGAATATATATAAACTAACTACCCTCCCATAAAGTCCCTTTTGCTATTTCAAAAAACAAAACCAAACAAAACCAACCTACCTCACAAAAAAACCTAAACAAACCACAAATTAAAAAAAAAAAACCCCAACAAAACAACAAAACAAACAAGAAAAAAAGCAGCCAAAAAAAAAAACAAAACAGCTTGAGGGTTATTTGCCTCCTTAAAAGGAACCCACCCACCTTTTCCTCCTTCAGTTCCAGACAGGAAAGTTAGGTTTCCTAACCTTAACCTCCTGCTAGAAAGGTGTATAACATGACTAAGCATATGTAAATGTACAACGGTTTCTCCCAGTGTAAGTAAAGCAAACAGCAGCAGATCCGGAAGAAAGCACCTAGCTGAATCCTTAATAAAACCTTCACTTTTTACTGATTTCAGAACTTCTCTCTCTAAAAAAACCCCAACAACCACCACCATCCCCCACCACACACAGGTAAGTCTCTTTCTTTAGATTCATGACAGAAGTTAGAAAAAAACAGCCAAAGTGCAGTGATTTACACCTCCCCTGACCCAGTTCCAAGCACTGCATTAGGAGCAGGTCAGAATTTGCTTCTTCCAGAGGAAGGCCAGGAGAAATCTCAGCAGCACAAGCACGGAGGGTGCTGGGAGCAGAGGCAGCAGCTCAGGGGCCCTGCCTGGGGCTCAGCCCTGCCCCGGCTGCTGAGCTGCTCTCAGCACACTGCAACAGGTTCAGCCACGCCAATGGAAATAAAGGCAAGAAAGGCTCTGGCGTTTCACCGCAACAGTGCTCTCGTTTGCAGCTTCTTCCTTGGGGGAAGGAAGAGCAGTAATAACCATGAAACCCAAGGGAAAGGAACCGCGGCTTCCTACCAGCTCCATTCCCGGCAATTCCCAGCCACTGCTTTCCTGAAAGAGGCAGTTTCCTGAGCGTTAGTGGAATGCAAGCAGGCTACTCCAGGCTCTGCAAAAGCCATCTCCTCATCTATTGTCTTACCTGCTCGGAATCCCATTACAGAGCAATGCGCATGCATATCAAGAGAGCAGAGAGGAAAGATGAGAACCACAGGAGTCTGTGCATCCCCCTTCACCTTTAATTATTGAGCTGCTACGTTCCTGTGCTGCAGCTTACAGAGTCAGGCTTACTGCAGTTCTAACTCAACAAGGTGGTCCCTGCCTCCAGCCTGGCAGCAAAGCTTGCTGTGTTATTCCAACAGGAAAGGAATAATGAAAAAGGGTTTTGCTGTCTGCAATGGGTTTGGTCCTGTCAGGACAGTCTATGACTTTCCTCATTTTTTTAACCTTAGGTTGAATTGACACACTTGGTGATCTATTTTAATTAGAACTGAATTCTTCCTTAATGCATAGTATATAGATGCTTCAAGTAGTAGTGGTAGGAAACGAGGGAGATTTTATGTCCATATTAAAAATCTACATAACACAATATTTAAAACTAAAATCCTACCAATTAACATCATGACCAAGTTTGCAGCACCATACTTTTCAATTTCATGAATCCAGTGAGGAATGGATTCAAATGTGGACCTCCTAGTAAGGTCATAGGCAAGGATGGCCCCATGGGCACTCCTGTAATAAGACTGGGTTATTGTTCGGAAGCGCTCTTGACCGGCTGTGTCCCACACTTGGATCTGTAAGAGAAAGGACAGAAGTTGTAAAGACCAGCGAACACCACTTTCCTAGGTGCTTGCCCTCAGCATTTGAAGCCTCTTGTCCAGAAGGCAGCCAGACCTGTCCCAGCTCACTCTACCAGACCAGTGTGGCTTTGCCCTCCCTAGATCTGAAAAGCCATTTACAAGCCTGAAGAGTCAATCTACACAGACCAAAGAGAACGCTCCAAGGGTGAACCCAGCTTTGCAAAGAGGCCAAGAAACCCATTTTCAACAACTGTAGTAAAAGATACAGAACGTTACAGCCTGTTAATAGCAAAAGAAGAGTAAAGAACCCTAATACAGGACAGGGCAGAGCAAATCTATATATAAAAGCCAGGCAATTCTAACTTTCATCTGCACACAGAAGGAAGTTCTAGCTGATAATTTCTTCTGGTGTTTGTCTTGGAAGTCTTCCCTCAAATTAAGCCCACATCAAAGTGGAGCCTTTGCAAACTTTGGGGGTTTTCCCTTCTTGGTGTCCCAGCTCAAACCGCCACATCTCTGGAGGGAAGAGACATCCCCTCCAAACTATAGCCGGCTTCCAAAGAACTCGCTGCAGGCAAAGTACAAGCCCTCTCCTCAGGTGATGCAGAGAAGTCACGAGAAGAAGTATGTACCCAAAATCAGGGTGACTGCTTCCCCCAGGATATCTTCCTGAGAGAAAGCTCCACTGGGAAGCACCCGTGGTTAGAAGGGCAGCCAGTTGCCCTGGGCAGGGCCGAGCAGGAGGTGCTGTGCGTCCCGCCGCCTCCTGGCACCTGCACGGGAAGGCGCTGCTCGCCAGGAGGCTCGGGTTCGCTCCCGCACCGACCTTCACTTTCTTGCCGTCGATGTCCATGGAGCGCACGGTGAAGTCGACGCCGATGGTGTTCTGCTGCTTCTCGTTGTACTGCCCCGTCTTGAAGCGGTGCACCACGCACGTCTTCCCCACGTTGGAGTCGCCGATCAGGATGATCTTGAAGAGGTAGTCGAAGGCATCGTCCGCGCCCGTGCTGGGGAAGGGCATCGCGGCTGCCGGGCGGGCCTGCGGCCGGGCTGGGGAGGAGGAGGACCCGCAGGCCCGGGGAAGGAGCCGCGTCCCAGGCGCTCACCTGCCGGCGCGGCGCTGCCCTGCCGGGACAGGTAGCGCCGCTCGGCGCCGCCCTGCCGCGGGGCCGGCGGGAGCTGTAGTCCACCCTCCCCTCCCCTCCCTTGGCCAAGCCGCGCAAGGGGCGGGCAGGACCCCGGCGGCGGCCGGACTACAGCTCCCGCCGCTCCGCGGGACCGCCCGGAAGAGCCGCTGCTGCCGCGAGCTTCCTCCGGCCGCGCCGGGCCGTGCACGGGGCACGGGGCGCGGGGTTGGGCACGGGGCGCGGGGCGCGAAGCGGCAGCGGCGGAGCCGGGCCCGGGCCCGGCCCTGCGCTGCGCTGCCCGCTCGGCTCCGCTCCCGCCCCGCCCCGCCGGGGACGTGGCCCAGCGCCCGGAGGAAGCCGCGTCCTTCTCCTCTCCTCCTCCTCGGGCTGGGCGGCCGTGCCCGGGCCGGGAGCGCGGCCCGGGCCTCCCCAGCAGCCCGGAGCGTTGCCGGAGCTTTCGGGTGCTCAGGGAAGCCGCTCGTCCTTCTCCCGAACAGCAGCCGGCGGCGCGTCCGCGGTGACACACGGGCTGCTTGTGCTGGCTGCCGAGGGCCCTCGGTGGGTTTGGGTTGTGCCGCTGTTCTCTCTGTTCGGAAAAATGGCATAGGGGTCTGGGGGGTTGTTGGTTTGGGGTTTGATGGGGTTTTCTTTGATTTGTTTAAATTACTGTTATTTTGAAGAAATAATCCTTTCGTTTGTTTTGCGCTTTGCAATGTTAAGGCTGCTGGCTTTGGAGGGCAGTAGGATAGCATTAAGGGTGTTTGTTTTGAACTTAATGTGCCTTATTTTGCCTTTAAGTGAAAGGATAAGGAGAACTTAACAAATAAGGGCGAAAGCCTTATTTCACCGAGGAGAACGTAACAAATAAGGGTGAAAGCCTATCAAAAGCTTACTCAGAATACCGGCTGGCTGTAGGTAAATTGTGCTCTATAATTAGATGAGGCAGTCTAACACTCTAAAAGCACTCCTTTTCCTTTTGTAAAGGCATGCTTCACTGTCTTCAGTTCTGTGGGTCATCCTGCTGCCGAGCTTTTGCTCTACCTCCACCACAAAGTTACTGTGGTGTTCTCACAATAATTAGAAGACTAACTTTAAAGAAGAAGCTGGTTGCAGTCTTTTCTAGCCTAGGAGGAATGCCAGTTTTGAATCTAGAAAGGGCAGGATGAAGATAGAGGGGAAACAAAATCTTTTGTGGTTATCTCTACATTGTGAAAGTGTCCTGTGTCAGAAAATATTCTAGAAAGAAGACCTGAGATTGGGAAGCTCTGGGAAACAGATTATTTCAATAGTAAATACTTTAAAAAAACCCCAAAAAAACAAAAAAAAAAAAAACAGGTGACTTTAAGGTCAGACCAGGTCTTAGCTTTAAAAGGACTCAGTCAGTATCTTGGACAAATAAGATCTGTATTTGCATATGTTGACATGAAGCAAGTAGTAAATCTTGTGCTTTGGGCTGCAGACTGATTACCCAAGGAAGGAACTTTTCCCCACAGCATTGCACAACTGGCAGTGCTTTGCTTTCCTCAGGACAGCTCTGTTATCTGCCTGGTGGGAGGGGAGGGAGAGCCAAGGAATCTCTTGTGTTTGACCAGCAGACCGTGTGGCTCACAGGCCTATAAAGACCGCGGAGCTGGGAAACTGGAGTGCCTTGGCTTCCCTTCTCAGTGCAGCTTGCATGGGGGACAGCCCTGAGCTGTAGGGTTACTGCTGCACTGTGTGCTTCTTGTGTGGGTGCTGAGAAATGGTCTGGGACCTCAGGTGAAGGTAGTATCAAGACTGCTTGCAAAGTTGGCTTTTCAGGGCTAGTCTTGGCTTCTCATAGCTCCAGTTGTAGGCACTTTTTTCTCCTCTGTGTGAACCCAAGCAGTCTAGACACATGTCCTTATAAAGAGGCGCTGTGTGCCAGCTGGAGCAGTAGCAGTGTGGCTCAAGAGCTCCTGGGCTGTGTAGAGAGAGATGGTGTCAGGTCTTGTACAGCCTCACTGCATTTGCCCTGGATGAGAATGGAGGTGTTCAGGTGTGATGTAGGATAAATGTGACTCCAGTGTCTCAAAGCTGTCATAGCTGGGTCTGTGTTACTCATGCCACACTGTTTTTGGAGGTCAGATGTGATGTCAGTTTCCGCAATTGTTTGCATACCTAGCAGTAGCTGGATATTGCTGTTGGTCAGGCATGTCTCACTGAGAGAGCAGGGGAGACTGCCTGCAGTGAAAGGTGTCTTGATGAAAGCTTTAAAAGGAGAAATAGAAAGTCTGTGTGAAATAAAGAGTTTCCAGCAGCAGAAATTTGGGTGAGAGACTGGACAATGACTTTTACTTTCTTCCGGTGAGGTTATGAAGCTGAACTTGAAAAGGCTTCTGTCAGATGTGCAAATAATTACAAACAGCACCTGTGGATACAAAAGGACACACAGGCATTATATTCTATCTTATTTCAGTACTGATCTTTTCGGGGAACAGAGGTGGTGCTTTATTTTACCTCTGCTCAGCATTCAGAATGTTTGCAGTATTGGCATGTCCTCTGAAATGTGTGGTGAGAGATTCATCCCCTCACTGCCCAGTGGGGCCGTTTCCCAAAATCTGTTAGCAAACATCATCCCTCAGCCATGCTAGCTCAGCTGGGGCATTGGAATGGTGTGGCATGGAGCAGCATGAGGAAACTGTATGTCTGTGATGGCCTTCCCTCAGTACTGATAGTTTCTGGTTGTCTCAAGGTTGAGGCAGGTGTCACCCATGCCCTACAGGTAGGGACAGAAAGGTGTGACTTGTGTGCTGTACTAATGAGTTGGGGGGACTGATGGAACTGTAATGTCAGGCTTGAGAATAAACAGGAAAGGATTCCAGCTGTTGGATTTCAACACTGTCCTCACAGCCCATCTAAGCTAGTCCACTCTGGGGTTTCCTTCAACAGCGTCTTAGTGAGGCAGTCAGATCTCAAACCCTTCTCCAGCCATAGCCAAATTCTGCTCTTGTGGCTTCATCACCTGTCTGTGTCCAGACAGGTAGCAGCAGAAAGCTCTTATTTGTGGTCACTCTCTAGTGCACCATGTGTGTAAATGGTGCACAATGGTCTTTAATGGGAGGTTGCTGGAAACTGGTAGATCCAGGGGATACTCCTTTGGTCCTGGGCACTGAAGAGGCATCTGCTAGGAGAGAACCAAAAAAGAAGTGCCACAAGGGTACTGGGAGAATAGGAATAACAAGATACCTTAAGCCATAGAAGTTACTGAGGAATGTACAAATGATGAATGGGTAGTGGTGTGAAACAAGTTGGAAAGGCATGGCATGGAGTTGTTCCATCTGGATTCGAGCTGTTTGGGGAACAGAGCTGTATTTCATACACGTGTTTTTATTCAAATTGGTTTTCTCTTCTCCTCCCTTCCCATCTTCTGTTTAAGGGGGCAGAAGAATGACTTAATCACCATCCAGCCCTTGTGGCCAAGGCAGGAGCAGGGCTAGGGCTGCCAGTAACATGGCTGTGCCTGGAGGCTTACAGAGGCAGCCTGCCAACAGAGGCCTTGTGTCCCACTGCACCCACCATCATATTGTTGTGTTCCTGCTGACCTTCTTCAGGTAGGTTGAGTGTACCTCTGCTCAGATATTTGTATTTCCACCCTTGACCTCCAGAGGAGATTGGGCCAACCTGTATGTCTGTGTGTTTCCTGGCAGTTATTCCCTGCTCCATGCCTCCAGAAAGACATTCAGTAATGTCAAAGTCAGCATTTCCAACCAATGGACTCCCTCCTGCCTAAACAGCACAGCCCCCGAGCTCCGGCCATATGAGGTAAGGACACAAGGGAGAAGGAGGTGACAGGAAAGGTGGGCAGCTGCCAGTGGGCTGAGCCTTTGGGGCTGAAGAGGCCCCTTTAGGTGTTCCTCACTTCTCAGAATGTGAGTGGAAACTTCAGATGTTGGCATTGTAGTTTTATGGATCACCAGGCAATGCTGAAAGCTTCCCTAGTGATGCCCAGAGAGAAACTTCTCAAGAAGCTACAGTGTTCCAATGGAAAGGGGGGCCCCAGAAGAGTCTGCAATAGGCAGTAGCATGGAGGAGGGGGCAGAGGGACTCTTCCTCTGAAGTGTTGGAGGCAATAAACCAAAGCAGTTAAATGGGCTTACAGAGGGTTCTGTGAAAATCCTGGCTCTGCTTTCTCTGTGGCAGTTGTGCTGCTGCCACCCTCTTAAAAGGATATCCAAATTAGGAGAGTAAACAGCTGTCTGGCTGTGCTAGCTGTTTATCCTAAATTGATGGTGAAGAATGACATTTTATCTTGCATCTGAAAGGCCTCATTTCCATGCTGAACATCCAGTACCCCTTGTCTGTAAAAATCTTGGTTTCAGTTAAAGCAGTGGGAGTTTTGGCAGTGCTTGCTGGCAGGAAAGGAAGTTTTAAACTGCTTGGTTTTCACAAATGGGAAGGCAAGAACTACGTCCTGGCTCCCACCATGGGGGTTTTAGGGCTTGTTTTTTGTAATGCTTTGTCCCGATGCTTTTGAGAAGTGGAAGAAACCTCGCATCAAAAGCTTGGTCACAGGCCATGAGATCTATTAGGGCTGGGAGTTTCAAGTCAGCTGCTGAAGCATTGCCTGCATTAGAAATCATTGGTTATTTGAATGTTTGCCAGAAGGAATACAAAGATGATAAATGCTGACTTCTTGTGATAAGTGAAAACAGTAAATTTGGCTTGTAATGGGTTCAGGATTTTATAGTATGGCCAAAAGGAGTGAGCATCTCAGGGATGCTAAAATGAAATAGGTCTTTATATTTAGTTCTTTAACCAACATTCAAACAACTAGTACATTCTGGAAGCTGTTTTTTTTAATATATAGATGATTTGGTATTTGCTGGATGTTAAGATGCATGTGTCTGATCAATAAAAATGGTCAAACTGGTATCAATTTAGGTTACATCTGTTAAACTAAGTGGATGTATGATTAGTGTTGTTCTGGATGTTCTCCTGGAGAGGTAGAATAAAGCTGAAACGGATAATATTTGAGTTAGGCACATCTGTAGGTCAGGTTTGGGTTGGGTTTGTTTGTTTTCTAATGGAGGCATGGAGGAAGGGAAGAAAACTGTGTTCTGATTAACTTTATTAATTCTTCAAGTTATCCTCAAAGCTTGCTATTTTTTTTACCTAATGTCACTAATCTTTCTTTGGGGACAAGTGAGACTTTCTCCCTTTTTTTTGATCATATTGAAATAAAGTGAAACTCAAGGTAAGCACAAAACCCAACAATATTAATGATGACTGGAGTTTGTTGTAAAATAGTTTTCAACCAGTCTATTTCTTCCCCTTGTTGCTTTTTGTGCTCTTTCTTTTTTGTTTGTGTTCTGTCATTTTTTTATTTTGGCTGCTGCCACAAATACTTTAAGGGAATTATTCATTTAATGAAGACAGCAAGAGAAGTACAGAAGAGATGCTGCACATAAAACAGAATATGCCTTTATTGTATTATTCATTAAAATGCTCATCAGTGTTTCAGAGTAAGAAGCTGTCTAACAGTTGCATGCTTGTTAGAAGTAGGGTTTGTTTTGCCACTCATTTGTCTTGATCCTGTCTTGAAAGGAGCATTTCACATTCTGGCTTGCTAGCTTGCATTTTAGAAGGGAAGAAAAGTGTCAGTGGACATTTTCTGCCAGAAGATAATGCCAAAATTGTTCCTGATTTGATAACTAAAGTGTTGGAGAAATGGGAGCTTGCTTGGGCCAGACGCTGTTTTGCTTTGCAGCTGGGGTTTTCATTGAAAAAGAGTAGAATGAGCTATGCCTCTCCCTGTTTACCTGTCCAAATTTTCCCTCTGTAGCTCTGGAACAGCAGCCATTTATTTGAAAGTGCAGAAGAAGCAACTCTCTTCCTGGGGACATTGGACACCATCTTTTTGTTTTCCTATGCTGTGGTGAGTAAAGCTAGCCCCAAGCTGCTCGGCTTTGCTGACTCCTACTGGGAAGATCGCACCCACAATAAAGCTTAGTTCAGAGGCAAACCTTCTCTTCCAGTTTCTGTTGATTCTGCCCATGCCTGTCATCCATGTGAAGATGTTTGTTAACAAACACAAGGGAAATACTATTGCTTCAGAATTTCTTACACCCCTGTCACCGGGGAGGACTAGTTCTGTCTCTCTAAGAGTTCTCAGCTGAATTCTTTGTAACAAAAAATGTAATGAGCAGCTAGCTACAAGCAAGGTTTCTTTAGTGGCAGGAGAAGTGGTTAGAATCAAACTGTAAGCTGGTGTAACAGCAGTGTTTGGATTAGTGTGGCCTTTCTATGTAGCTTTAATTCTTACAGCTGTAAGGTGAGAATCCTCTGGCTTGATTTAATGCTGTGTTTTGTTCCCAGGGTCTCTTTGTCAGCGGCATAGTTGGGGACCGCGTGAATTTACGCTGGGTTTTGTCTTTTGGCATGTGTTCTTCTGCTCTGGTGGTAAGTTGGAACATAGTAGTGGGTAAAAATTTGCCAAAGGGTTTCTGGGTAGGGTTTTGCTGCAGGGAGAAGAGGCTCTGTTTCTTTGTGAATCTGCTCATGAGCTGTAGCTGTACCTCAGTGGTCTCAAAGCCTGCGGGTCTAACTTGGTTCTGGATGCATGTACTGCACTGTCTAAAGCATGGAGCATAGAAGAGTCTTCCCTTGCTGAAATGTCTAGCTTTGGACACTGTGTCAGAAGGAAATTCCTAAGTTTGAGACACTGTCTAGAGACTTGATGAAGAGCTTTTGTTCAAGATTAGTGTATTTGGGCTTTTGGGGACTGTTCTGTAGTATAACTTAATCTCTTAGACCATGCATGTTTTTATCGAGGCTTTTGCTTCCAAACACAATCTTTGCTCTGTTCTTTAAAGGACATCCTAATAATACCAGGCACTCATTTACTTGTTTTATATAACTGCCAAGAGGGTATGTGTCAAGAAAGAATGTCTGTTTAAAACAAAAGGTGTTTTGTGTTCAAGTTCAAGCCATTTCAGATAAGTGCAAATCAGTTTTATCTCGTGGTTTTCTGGTTATTAAAGTAGTGGTAAAATCTGTGGAGTGTGTTTATTTTGCTGGTGGCTGCAAACCTCACTGTGGCCTGTTGTGCTCTGCAGACACATGAATACAAGTGTGCATCAAGCACCCTGTTCCACAATGTGTGTTTATTTTAGAGCACTTAGTAATTTGAGACCTGGCTGTAGTATTTGTGTTAAATTTGGTGAAGATACATGACCTGTGAGGGTTCTGTGTTTGCAGATAGCTTCACAGATTAGCATGTCAGTACAACAACAGATCAAGAGGCTACTGTATTTTTTTAGTGTTCTCATTGAAACTATTTGTGTTTTTCTTCTCTTCTCCTGTTATAACTGTGCTGTTTGGGGAGATAGAAGTCTTGGAGAGGAGGTGCCATGACGGCATGTTTGTCTCTGGAGTCAGAGCAGTGCTGGCTCAGCAGAGGGTGCTGTGAGCCCTGTACTGTGTCTCAAACAAGGCCAGCCTGGCCTCTGCCCTGGCCCCTGCACAGCACCCTGAAAGCTTGTGCCTTTTTTTGGGACCTCACTCCTGCCTGTCTTTCAGCAGTAGCCTTCTCTGTTTTCCCCCTGCTCTCCCCTAGGTGTTCTCCTTTGGCACACTCACAGAATGGTTGCATTTCTACAACAAGTGGTTCTACTGCTGTCTCTGGGTTGTGAATGGCTTGCTGCAGTCCACTGGCTGGCCCTGTGTGGTTGCTGTCATGGGAAATTGGTTTGGAAAGGCTGGGTAAGTTGAGTTTTCTTCAGTGACTCACTTATCTGAAATGCTGAGTAACAGATTGAGCTGATATTTTCAAACCAGAAAGGCCAACTGTTAGTTCATAATTAAAATTAGGTAAGATGAAATATGCCTTACTTGTTACATTCTCTCTTTCACTCTTTTTCTGGAGCCACAGAACAGCCTGGTGTAAGCACAACTGTGTGTATTAAAAGCATAGGTTCAAGCTTCAGAAATCCCATAGTGTAGAGTGACTGAATTTTAATTTTCATACCACTGAAAAACCTGTTTCTGTCTACTTAGCCATAAAGAGAGCTAATGATAACTGAGTCATCCTAGGCTTTGTTCTCACTTTGGGATATTGCAGATGAGCTCCAGTCATAGTTTGTAACCTTGTTGCCAGCTCACTCTCTTTTAACACAGATGTTTCAGGGCTCCTGCCTTATCTATTTGGCAGCTCCAAGTTACGTGTTTTGTTTTAAATGAACTTAGAGCCTCTTTGAAGTGGTCAGGGAAAATGGTGTAACTATTTATCAGTTAAAGTTCACTTGAATGTTTTGTTCTTGTCCTGTTCTTAATGTCATCTGTCCTCACACTGTCTGCTTCAACTCTTTTTCCCCTTCTGCAGGAGGGGTTTTGTCTTTGGACTCTGGAGTGCCTGTGCATCTGTGGGAAATATCCTTGGGGCATTCCTTGCCTCCTGCGTTCTCAAGTATGGCTATGAGGTAGGTATTGCTGCCTGGCTTCTAGCTACACCTGCATGTCTGAATGGGTTATGAGACACTGGTTTTTATCCTTTCTTTGAGAGATAACAGCCTCATGTGTCCAGTTTTATCTTCCTGAATTCTGTGGAGGCAGAATAGAAAGGCTGTTCCTTTGCTGACTCTTCCAAGGGACTGATGATATTAAGGAGCTCCTAGTGTCACATTGTACCTTCTTCTGATTTGGGTGGCTCCAAGTGCTCTTCAGAGTCATCCATCACAGGTTCTGAGTTGACTGGAGTCCCTGGAGCTGGAAGGGCATGGAGGCATAGCTGCTGTGACTGGGAAGAGGCCAGGCTGTCATGTGGCAGTGGACAACTGAGCACAGGGAATGGGAGTGACCCAGCACATCCATAGCATGGGGCCTCTGAGGACAGGCTGGGAGAGCCAAGCTGGTCACTCTGGGCATGAGAGGGCTTCCAAAGAGAGCAGCCCTCAAGAGCAGCCTTCCAAAGCTTGGGAGAAGATTATTGAGAAATCAGAGCCAGACTCTTTCCAGGACTGCACTTTGAGAGAGCAAAAAAGCAATGGCTGTAAAGTGAAGCAGGGATGGTTCCATTTGGATGTTTGGAAAACCATTTTCCTACGATGTATGTTAAACAATGGAACAAGGGGACAGAACCTGGAGGATCTGTCTTTGGAGGATTTCAAAAATCTGATTGACCAAAACTCTGAGCACCCTTGTCTAAATTTGGTGCTTGACTCTTCTGTGAGCAGTCCCTTCCAATAGAGCTGGATCTCTGGTTGTGTTGGCTCAGCTCCTTCCTCATTGCTGTCTTCTCAGCACAGATAAGCCTAGATAGGACCAAGTCTGTTCAGGAGAAGCAGAGATCACTTGTTTCCAGGTGTCATGGATGCAGTCTGGGTTGTTGTAGCAGTGTTTGCTCTCTCATGAGGTTGGAATGTAAAGAAACCCTCATTAGAGGTGTATGAACCTTCAATTTCAGGTGATTGAAAGTGCTTTAAAAAAGAATGTTTTCTTTATTTCTCCTCAGTATGCTTTCTTGGTGACGGCCTCAGTACAGTTTGCTGGAGGAGTCATTGTGTTCTTCGGGCTCCTGACGTCACCGAAGGAAGTGGGTGAGTGGAAGAGCTGTGCTATTTCAGTCCCTTCGTTAAGAGCAGATCTGCAGCTTTCTGGGTAGTACTACTCATTCTGACAGCATTTGTCCTCAGGGCTCTTACCAAATGGTACTGCACCTTAGTGCATTTAATGGAGCAAATGCTTTACTTGCCAAGATCACACTAAATGCTACCATGTGTCACGTGAATAGGGTCTGGATGTTTTTTAAAGTGAAATAAAACAGCATGTCTCTAACATCTCCACTAGGATATGCCTAATTATCAGTTTTTCTTCACCTGAAACATCAGTATTTGTTAAAGAAACAGCAGGCAAACTGATAACTGGCTATTGTAGAAGAAAACTATGGCAAACCTTAAGTGTGCAATGGGAAGGAAAAGTAATTTTGGTCTGCAGGTCTCCCACAGCCGGATAAATAACTCTTGGGTTGGACAGGTTTCTTCTCTGAGAAGGTGGTAGGCAAGTCAGAGTGCAGCAGGGAAAGAAAAGAACTTTGGGGCTTTGACAGGGCCGTGGAGGAGGTTTCCCAGGTGCCTACAAAAGCTGTAAAGTTGGGAGCTCTAAAGCTGCCATAAAGTGTGCTCATAAGAGTGCTTTGCATCCCAGGAAACACAATGCAGTTCCCAGGCCTTCCATTCCAGCAGAGGCGTTAACAGGCAGCAGGTGTCTGAGTCCTGCTGCTGCTCTCAGCCTCCACGCTCAAGGGAGGTGGCACCCAGGGCCAGGGCTGAGGATCCCAACCCCTGAATAAGGGGGGAAATGCACTAATATGTTGTGTCTTCCAACTAATGGCCAGACACTCAGAACAGACAAAGGCGACGCCAGGATCACACAATACTTTCAAGAGCCCTAGAAGACAAAGGGTAGAAAGTGGCGGCACTGCAGAACACCATCTAGAAGAGTTTCTAAGCCAAAGGAGGATGGAGGTATGGGAGAGCAAGGGTACTGCTAGAAGGTAGAATTGCTTAAAAGAAGCAAGCATAGCTTTAGAGTGGGGAGAGGGTGAAGAGTCTGTTTTTCCTGTTGCTTATTCCTTGTAAAACGTAGGCCTCCCTGAGCTTGGAGCAGATGAAGACGAAGCCAATTTGGAAGAAGATGCCAACAGACCTCTAATGGGCAATGATGATGTAGATGATGATGACCAGAATTACTCCATTCAAGCAACTGACAATGACAACCAGCCCAAGGCCATTGGCTTTTTCCAGGCTTGTTGCCTTCCTGGTGTAGTACTGGTGAGGACACAGATTCTTAAGTAAGAGCTGACTTATCTGTTGAACATAAAGCTGGCTTTTTGTGTTGTCAAGATTTGTACACATCATTCTTGATATGTTGACCATACATTGTAGTGGTTTGCATCTGACATCTCATGCTGTTAAAATGTTGGGGTTGGGCCTGCTATCCTTGTGTGCATGGATGATGCTGTGTGAGTGGGTGGTGTGTGTTACTTTTTCCTCCTGGGAAGATTACATGCATGGAGTGCATGTAATGAGCCAATGAAGTGCAGAAGAGATCTTGTCCTTCCTGCTGTGAATTTGCAAGGCAGGCCATGGCCAAAGGTGGCTGTATGATGCTTCCTTGGTAAGATAGATGCCTGCTCTGAGGAATGGGGTTCTCACTCCTAACTGAGCATCATATAGAGCTTGATGGCCCTGATACTGAGATTTGGAGATTTTTAGTTATCTTAGAGCAGAAAGCTGGCCTGAAAAGCTTGAATCAGCATGATGTAACATCTGGCAAAGTGTGCAGGGCTTTTTATGAGCAACAGGAAACAAGGCCTGGTGATGCAGTTTCCACATATCCTTGTCCTGTCCTTTGAAAACTTGTGCTTCTGTATCAGCAGTACTGCCCAATTCACGTTCAGCTGAAAAGTTAACCTGTCATTGAAAAACAATGTTAACCTTCTGCATCGGGACACACATTCTGCGTGTCCCCTGAATACTAGAACCAGTGCAAGAAAGGGGGCAGAGTGGCTGCTCAGCAGAGCAGTGGGAACTGCCTGGATTTGCCATGGAGCAGAACTACTGAATGGGCAGTGTTCAGGTACCCTTAATGAGCAAGCGGTTGGCTGTTGTGATTGAGGCAACAGAAAATCTAGAAGGGATGGGTGCATTGTCAGTGTGTCAAGTGCAAGACAGCCACAGTCCTGTTGTTAAGGCTGTAGTTGAGGGATAGCAAAAGAAAGCAAACACATCTTGAGTTCTTTCCTACTTTGGCTAAATGCCTCACACAAAATGTTAGTGATGGTGTCTGCCTCAGCTTGATGTGACTTTTTTCACTGGCCTGAGCAAAAGGAAATGGCAGCAACTGAGGTTGCTTGCTTTGAACTTTGGGTTTTGGGGATACATTCCACGCCCTAATCAAGCAACCTGAGCACCTCTGAGTCAGAGTTTTATCTGATGTCAGCTTAGTGCCCAGCCAAACACGGGTACCATGTCAGATTGGTGAGAGACCAAATACTGAGAGAATCTCCAAAGCCTTGTCATGATTCTACAAAGAATTTATTTGACATATTTTTTCTGTAGCTCCTCTCATCTCCTGCTGAGTGATACAGTGGAAGAGTATCAGACAGCTTTCCCCTGAGCCTGTAGGAATTCAATGTTTAATCACTCAGACAATCTGGTAGACAGTTTCTTAGGTGTTGTAATAAATATCACTTTGTACAGTGCACTTTTCACACCCAGAGGCAGGAGGACCCTACCAAACATCCCCATGTCTTCCATGTATGATGGAAATTAGTTTGTTTCCTATAAGAGTGAAAAAGCATTAATAATAGAGCTAACAAGTCTGTATCTATTAAAATAATATAAATTCAGAAGAGATGATTTTGTGGAATTTAATATATAAAAAGATCTGCTTTCTGAAATTCAAAATCAAGTGTCTGTATGCACAGAGCCTCAAAGGTAGTGCTTTAACATCTTCATCCTTGTTTGCCTTTTCCGATGGGTTCCTTGAACTGCTGTCTTTACTGAAGTAGGGTGATCTGTCCCTCTGCATGCTGGGCCAGCAGTCCCTGAGAACTAATCTTTGCCACACACATGAAAGCTCTGAAGGAGGAGATCTTCCAGCTAAGGACAAATTGAGCCCAGCAGACAAAAGAAGGTTGTCACAACTGTTGGGTTTGGAAGCCTGTGCTCAGCTTTGGCCAAACCTTTCATCCCATGTCCTGGAATACCTGCCTGGGGATTAGGAGTGAAGCTTTCTCTTTTGGTGCTGTAAGCAGATGAGCCTTCTGAGCAGCACAGAGGAACCACTTCACATAACTTTTCTCAGCATGATGCACAGATGACTAAATCTCAAGCTTGTTTTGTGTCACATGGCTGGCTCCCTTCTCTTCAGAAGGGGAATTAAATTTTCTTCATTTTTTGAAGCCTGGTGTCATTTCTTCTCAAAATTACACGAAAGTGTTTTAACCCATTGCATTCAGTCATAAAAAAATAACCTTCTTGACAGTGATTTTTGTATTCCTGGGCTCCCTTTGAAGTTCAGCATTAAACTTTCATGATGCTGCCTCCTTACATGAAATTCGGAAGTGCTTTCCCTTGAAAGCTTTAGCTGGATCCGGAGCTTTATGGAAATAAGCAGAATGCTGTTTGCATTTCCCAAGTGCTAACTGCTCACTGGCCCTCTCTTTGTTCCAGTACTCTTTGGCCTATGCGTGCTTGAAGCTGGTGAATTACTCATTCTTCTTCTGGCTGCCCTTCTACCTCAGCAGCAACTTTGGATGGAAAGAAGCAGAAGCTGACCAGCTCTCAATCTGGTATGATGTGGGAGGAATCATAGGTGAGTGAGCAGGGGAGTGACACCTTCTTGCTGCTGCCTCCCTAATGTTTGAGAATGAAAGACAGTGGATGCAGCCAGAGCAATTGTGTTCAGTGGGATCTAGCTGTCCACCTAATGTGGCAAAAGTCTAGGTTTGTATGTGGCTGCTTGGCTTGTCTTTTTTTCCTTAAACACAAAGTATATGACCCCCTGCGGAGTTAACATATAACTGAAGACCACTGTCCTACTCTTGGAAATTACCCCCAGCTGGCATTTTTCTTCACTGACTATGACTTCTTGATGAGTTCTGTGTACAAAATGGGGGCCCCTGCTTGCTACTTCTTCTGAAAGGTACTATTGGGGAAGATTTAGCTCTGGACTTGGTGGGTTCTGTACTGTTCTGTCTGTCCTGTGTTTCTAAGGACAAACTCATTGCAGATTTCAGGAGAGCAGGCACCAACTTTGTTATGTTCAGAAATTAAACATAATTGATTTTATTTCTGCTGGCTGCAAAACCTGACCCAGTTCCTTCAGAATCAAGAGTATATTCTGTGTATGTGTTTAGACTTCCACTCTCCTGTGCTCAGGTTCTAGCTTTATTCCCTTGTCCAATTAGCTTTCCTATAATAGATGTCCTTGTTTGGGACCATTCAGGGTCTGCATTAGGCTTTCTCAGCATTCTGGCTTTTACCAACAGAGGAGTTCCTGCTGAGGTACCAATAGTACATAAGGTGATTTTTATTTGCTTTTGGCATTTGTTGCATTCAGTTGCATCTGCCCTAAGCAGGTGAGACAGCAGGGAATGAGAGGCCCCCATGTGTTAATGTTTTCCCTGTGAGAAAGCGCTGCCTTTTCTTGCACTTTCAGTTAAAGGAGACAGCCACAGCGTTCGGCTTGCTTAATCCAGGATTGTGGTGGTCCTGTAGGGGAAGAGAAAGGAAAGTGGGAGCATTGGCTAGTGGCATGCCAGAAAAAAAAGAAGCAATACATTCCCAGTAAAGCAGTATGAGTAGTTTTATCTTTAAATTTACTGTTGTCTCTGTGTCTGGGGTAGTAAGGCAGGAGGCTTAGCTCTTGGGATTTTAAAGGGAGTGTGTATTGATGAGGAGGCCACTGCACTCAGGGAAATGAGCTTTGTTCAAGGTATCAGCATTCTGAGCCTGACAGTGAGACTTCTTTTTTAACAGGTGGGACTATCCAGGGCTTGATTTCTGATGTGCTGCAGAAGAGAGCCCCCGTGTTAGCAGTGAGCCTGCTCTTTGCTGTGGGCTCTCTCTTTGGATACAGCCGTGAGTACTCCTGTGCTGCACAGGGATTAGAGGCTTATTCAGTACCTTCTAGAGAGAACCAGAGCACAGCCTGTTCTCATTATGTTTTCTGGTCTTCAAACTCCTTCTGGATCAGAATGGTGCCTTTTGGTCTATTTTGCTCAAGTGTGGCACTGCACAGAAAGAAATCTGTTCTCTGGTTAATTGGGTGGAAATGAATTCTCTGGTTTCCCTGGAGTGGTGAGTTATGGTACTGATCCTTCTCCAGTGTCAGTGAGATTTTTGTCATTGTCATTATGTCAACACCATAATTGGCAGAGCAAGAAATCTCGAGTGTGTCCCTACACTATGAGGAAAGAGAATCTGTGGACAGATCTGTGCTGGAGTATATATACACTACTCAGAGTCAGGAGAAGCTCTTAGACTTCACTACTTAAACTTCTGAAAATTGTGAAACTGGAGAGTTTCTGCCTCTTCTGTCATAGATATAGTTCTTGGTGCCCAGCTTTTGAAAGGAGTCTCAGGAAAACACAGGGTAAGGAGACAGGAAGATGTAATTTCTGTGAAACATCTATGAAGCACTTCTAGGGATGACAGGTTTGTGTTTTCAGACACTGTCCCGTGCTACAGAATGATTTGAGATTCCATTCCATCCCATCTCACTGGGATGCCATTTCACTTCTCTGTGTGTTCCTCCAAAATGGGGTGGTGGTCCAGACAAACCTTTATAGAGCACTTTGAGATCTGTCAGCAGAAATTTCTGCTGGATCTGGAAATGAACAGTGTGGCTTTTGGAAGCATGCAGGCTTACTCAGATGGTCTCAAAATAAGGTCAATAAGTTGCTATCACTGAATAGCAAGGATTGGGTTTGGTGGAGTTTTTGTAGGCTCTTGCGCTAACTCATTGCTTTAAAAAGTGAATTGGCAGTAAACATGGAATTATTGCTGGTGAGGTTTAAAGTTTGTGACTAGGTAACAGCCAGAGCCCCAGGTACCTTGTGCTTAGCTCAAAATGTGCTACTGTCCAGGCAGATACAGAAGCCTCCAGTGATCCAAAGTTCCTGCAGTGTGATAATTCAGCTTCCATCAGCCAAAACAGGAAACCTTATTGTACCCATAGTGTGTTGCACATGAGAGTGATAATGGCCTGAGAATATGTATAGAAGAGGGTGCACCTTGCCTTGTGCAGTAACTTGCCATGTGTGGGCCCTGAATGGAAGGGAGTGAGGAATTCAGGTGATGCCTGGAAATGAGATACCAGGGAAAACTGTCTGAAAGGCACTGAGGGGCTGTAGTGGAAAACTAGCTGCATGTACACATGCTGCTGGAAAGGCAAGGGGAACCTCTAGATGTTCAGACATGGCTTTATAAGGAGGAATTAGTGTTTTGGAAAATGTGGGAAGAGTGAAAGGGCTGATACAACTGCTGAATACTTTGTGATAAGAGAGTTGGAGTTGAGTCTGACTTCCTCGAGAGATAGATGAAGGATTCTCTTACAATTCAAGTTTTATTTACCCTCACCTGGTCTTTCTTTTGCAGGTTCCCCAAACAGCAAACCTATCAATGCTGTGATCATGGCAATTACAGGTAACTTCTCAAAATCCACTGTTATGCTGGTAGACATCTAAATTCATTGCAGAACAGCCAGTAACACCAGCCAAGTGGTGGTAAGGTGTTTATGTGTGCTGCCATCTCTGCTGGTTTTGCAGAAAGAGTGCAAACTGGGCCCCAGTTTCTGTTACCTTTCGAAAACAGCTGTAGGAAAACTGCCTTACAGAGGGAGGTATAGAATATAGACTGTATAGAATAATGGCCTGGAGCTGAGGCGATCTGCCTTGGCTCAGTATGGCAGAGGTGGATTTATGCCAAAATGCCTAGAAGTGATCTGGTATCTGAGGAAGTGGGTATATGGCAGAGTCATGAGCTGCAGCTCAAACTTGAGGGTGTTTGTCAGAATCCAGAATACCCTGTGTGCTGTGAGAGGTCACAAGCTTTTTGTGCTACCACACATACTGTGCTGTGTTATGGAATTAGGCCTGCATGAATAGAGCCTTTCTTTCCAAACACTCTTATTTCAGAACTCTCTGTCCTGTTGTTGTGGGTCTTTTTTTTTTTTTTTTTTTTTTGCCTTCCATCTCTTCCATGAACCTTGAACCTCTGGAGACTGAGGCTGTAGCATGAGCATCCATGCTAATTAAAATGTTCTTGTTAGCTGTTTCTACTACAGATACTCAGGGTGTTTCATGAGTGTGTGTTTCAGGTACCCCTCTACCTGCAGTTAGTCTCTGAGCACTGTCCCCTAGACTTAATTCTTGTCCTGAGCTTTCATGGTATAAAATCAGTGTTTTGAAGATGTTTTGTTGAGAATCTATCTGAGCATTTGTTTTACACAAGGCTATTTTCTTGTCACTTTCAGGATTTTTCATCGGAGGCCCTTCTAACATGATCAGTTCTGCAATTTCTGCTGATCTGGGGCGTCAGGATCTGGTGAAAGGCAGCAGCGAGGCTCTGGCGACAGTCACAGGAATTGTGGATGGAACAGGCAGTATTGGTGCTGCCGTAGGCCAGGTAAGGCTGCCAAAGGGAAAGAGAGGTCTGAGGAAGGAGGAAAAATGTCTCTTGGGGTTACAGATGTTAGTGCATTCCTCAATCCTAAGTTGTGTGGGGGGAGAAAGATAGGGTTGGGTTTTTTTTTTTTTTAAATACTGAAGAATCAACGAAGGGAACCTGTCTGTTTTAACAAAGTTTCCAGTGGAAATAATGTAATTAAGAACTAAACTAAGTATTCACAGTGCTAATGTTAAGGCACTTTAAGTGAATTTTACAGATTTTCATATCCTGAACTTCAAAAAGCCTTGCAAAGAATGAAAAAAAATATTTTGAAGTTTGAGACTTTTTTTGTTTTGAGCTGATAGGCCAACCTGCTCTTACAGAAAACTGTATCTCTGAAACTGAGTAAAATCGGAATATCTAGTATGAATGTTACAGTGTTTATGAAATGATTTAAAATTTGCTCTTATTTGTGCTTTCTCTTTTTATCTGTGGATGTCTTTTACACCTTCTAAATCCAGCCCCACTTGCTTCAGTAGTCCTTACAGTATGCTGCCATGTCTGAGGAGTAGAGTGTTGAAGAGGAGGAAGCTGACAGTGTGCCCACTGGGGATGTTTTCTTCTCAAATACAAGTGTTAGCTACGTGAAAGAACACAGTGGTGCTTTTGGGAGGACTTAGTAGAGAGATTGGAGCCAGTTCTACTCCAGGCATCCTCCAGTGTGGTAAAATAACAAGGATGCAGGCAAAGCGTGCGAGTTTCTTTTCTAGAAAGAGCTTTGGGTTTGTGCTTGCCACTGATTGCCTGATAAATGCAATCATTCAGTCACTGTTTTGTAAGACAGATGCTGCTTTTCTCCTCTGAATGTGGAAAGTTACAAGTGCTTTAAGGACAAATATTAGTGTACTGTTACACTCAGTGTTCTTCTGGCATGGTCTCAGTATTTTTGTCTTCCCACACACATACCATCCAAACTCACATCATCATAAAAAGTGGGTCTTTGGTTCTGAGAGATTCCACCTGCCTCCCCTTCCAACACTGCATTTATCCCAGCAGAGACAACCACGATGTCGTTCCGGGGGTGTGTGAATGACAGCAAACGCACAATGAGCATGTTGGAAATTCAGATCCTGTTCTGATATACCCAGCAGTGAAGAAAGGAGGCCCTTGTGCAACATCTGTGTATAAATCTTCTAATAAGAGATGCATTTTCTTGTGTGGCCTGGGCTGCCCAATTGAGCCAGGGTGCAGCTCAGAACAAAGTGTAGTCTCAAGTGTCTTGCCTAGCTGAAGGGTTAAGTAGTTACTGGTAGCAGAGCTCTTGAAAATGTGTCCTGTGTAATTTATAAGCCATTTTAGAGCTTTTAGTTCTTCTGAGAGTACTTACATCCACTTATGTGCCAGTGTTCCATGCAAAAACCTTGTATTCAGCAGAGTCAATTTATCACACTTTGAAACTGTAGTTCAGTTCTGTCTTTGTGCTGTTCTGAGTTACTGTAAAGCTTCAGGGTGGTGTCTCTGCTTTGCTGAAACTGTGGGTTTCATACAGAAAAAGACTGCTGTCCTGAGTCATCCCTTCTGACAGGAAAAGATCAGTTGGAGGATTTTGTGATCAGCACTGTGTGGAGTGCCAAGAGCCCACAAAGTCTAGTAAATGAAAGTGTCATGCCTGAAAGTTATGCTTATCTTCCCAGTTTGAACAATATTTTTTTCCTTTCTGTTTAGTATCTAGTGTCTTTGATCCAGGAGAAACTGAAATGGATGTGGGTTTTCTATTTCTTCATTCTAATGGTAAGAAATCACCTTTTTAAAAAATTCTTTGTCAATTTTTGTGGGAACCTGAGAACTGTGACTTCTGATACCATTCTCAAAGTGGCCTGTGGTGTGGCTTTGCCTCAGGTTGTCCAAGTCAAATGAGTTCATTTTGGATCCTTTAAAGTCATGTTACCCAACAGGAACTGAGATTGTAGCAGAGACACAAAAGTACTTGGCCAAAAATACCTGTATGCATTTCCTAAAGTTCATAGCACCTGACTTCCAAGGCAGGGCTTCTCCCTCCTTCATCTCTGTGATATGTAATTTCTAATATTTTCAGAGAGCTGAAGTTAAGCTGCTTGTTTGTTAGGTCTTGAAGATTAGTGGAAAGAGTGATGAGGGTATTGAAACAAAACTAAAAATGCCTTGGCCCTGTTTTGGTGATGGGACAGAGAGCTGTTGAGGCCCTGATGTTTTCAGCATCACCACAGTGGTGAATGCTGCACAATTTACTTGGTCCTCCCTGCTGGAAATGCCAGGAGATGTCTTTACATCTGTGCTGACAAGGGAGAAGGCCACTTTGGTAACCAGCAGAGGTGGCAAGGAGGAAGGTCACTGAAGAGCTGGAGACCTCATCTTTATGAAAAAGTGATCATGGCAGCTGAAATTGTATGAGCTTTCCTGCAAGCTCAGCCGTTCCTCTGCTGTGCCACTCTGTCATTGCTTCTCTAAGCTTCCTGGGATGCCTTGGATGCACATTGGAGCAGGGCTGGCTGCAGCTCTGGTTGCTCTGTGCTCACTGTCCTGGATTCGCTTCTTTCCGCAGACGAGTTCAACAATCCTGTTCATTTCACCGTTGATAGTGAGGGAGATGAGGTTGCTGCTGCATGAGCGGCGCCTGCGAACGCTGGCAGAGTGACGTCTGCTCCCCTCAGCCAGGACTGCTGTGTGGAGCTGACAGCTGGGACACTCCTCAAGACCCTGGGAGACTTGTTTGTTACATCCTCCGGGTTTGGACTGATGGAAAACGACTCCACGAGACTTGATTGACTCGCCTTCGGTGAGCCCAGTCGTGAAGCACCAAATGTCTGTCCTGAGACCACCTGTGTCACGGAGCTGCTGACCTAAGCCAGACAATCCATGGGACTGATGGATTGCCCCAGCCTCCCAGACCCTTCCAGCAGTCACACCAGGGTCTTCTCTTGGGTGTCTCATTCCTATACCTTTTCTTATTTATTTCTGGATGTGCTGACCAAAGTCAGCTCTTTAAAACTGACAGTTTTTGGGAGCCTGTCTTGCAATGAATCTTAATGCTCTTTTGTGCTGGTGAAATCATACAGTGCAGTTCATGGATCGTCCTAAATTTCAGATCACCTTAGCTTTTAGAAAGGGCAATAATAATTATTTGGCATTTACGCTGTCCAGTTGTTTAAAAACTGCTGTTGCTAAGTCTCTGCACAGATGGACCTCTGCTATTCCCTTGTCTCTTAACTGTTACATATTCCAGTAGAGTCACATGAGGAAGTTACCTCTGTATTTGTTTTTAACATTTTTAATTATGTTACTAATCTCTGAGAAATGAGATTTCATTTTTTTTTACTATTGAAGTGGACAAATAGTGTGCAATACTTTATGTAATCTCTGAAATAAGCCTTAATAGGTCCTTTGTGTCTAAAGGATCCTCGAATGGCTTCAGGGATCAGTAATGGGACACAAATACTTTCACTACTTTGTTTATTGAACCTGACCAATACTGACCAAAATGGGTGTGAGGTGACCTGAAGGAAACTGGTGTTACTGACTTCATACTCTTTGGGCAATTGCTCATCTCAGCAAGCAGGATCAGAATGGAATTAAAGGAATTTAAGGGACCTGGCTGCTCTCAGACAGGGGCTGAAGTGTACTCGTGGAGTAGCATTAATGAGCAGCTGCTGCTGTCCCCCCTCATGCTCCTGTGGCCATGGCTGCATAGGGGATCTCAAGCTCCAGGGTTTGGAAGCTTGAGTTGTACCTTGAAGGGAAAGGTAGATACAAGTCTGCCTGCAAGCACTAAAAGCAAGTGGCTGTGCTTGGTGTGGTGGTGTTTGAGTGCCTTGCAGTACTGTGGTAAGTGGGATGACTGACTGACACTCAAAAAAATGTTTTGTGTTTATGCCTTGAGATGTTTCATTGTAATCGGTCTGTGTTAACCTGCAGAACTTGTGAGCAAACACTCTAACTAGTCACTGCCTGGATGGAGGTGGGGAACAGCAAAAGTTAGAGCTGAGAATTTGAAATTTTTTAAATGGGAATAGTTGCCTTTTCAAAATGTACATTGATTTTATTTTATTTGTTAATTGATGAATGTCAATTTTTAGTCTGTGTTGATTGTAATGAGTGGAACATCATTAGTGCCTTACAGTTTTACAGTTTTGAACGGTTGCTTGGTGATTGCTGCTTCTGTAGTTATGTCTCCATGGACAGCTTTGCTTAATGTGGAGCTCAGTTGCCCCATTTTATACTTTTTTGGGTCTTTTTCTCATGGTGGAGGTGATTGTTGCATCTTTTTGTTAGCCCTCAAAGTATTTCAGTGTTTGGGAAAATGATGCCCCATTAAGCTGATATGGGGCCCAAGTCCTGTTCTTGACTCTTGTCATTCCCATTCCAATTTTTGCCTGTATAATTGCAGCAGGAGACTGAGAATCTATCATCCTGTTCTCAGAATTATGCCCTGGGGTTAGTGTTCACATCCCAAGCTACTCATTAGCCCCTGTACAAATAGAATGAAAACACCCTGAAATTTAGTTCTAAAATTGATGGTGGTACCATTTGCCCCAGCCACAGCATCTGAAAATCTCTGGTTTCAAATTCCAACCTGGATGAACTTTTTGGCTGCCTCTCTGGGCAGCAGATAAGCTTCTGATGAAAGGTGGGGTGGGGAAGGGATGTTGCTGGGGTTGGGAGGGAGGAGAGGCCGGCCCTTATAACAGATGGCTTCCTGTAAACAGTTCTGTCCCCTCTTGAGAAGTGTCAGAAGTGATGGAGCGCCAAGCCCAGGCTGCCCAGCCTTTGAGGCCACCCCCAATTAGTGAGGCATGCCTAAGGCCCTGGGATTGCTGCTGTCCTTCTTGTCCTGGGTTTTCAGTTCTGTGTATTTCTCCAGGGTGCTCTGAGGGAGAAAGGTTTTCAATGTGGTCATGTCTGAACCGACCTCACGTGAATAAACACTTTGACTTGATCTGGGCTTGTTCGTCCGTGTGCTTTATTCCGCTCTCCCTGGTGCG